TCAAAGAAACTCTGTTTATCTCAGAAAAAATATTTGAAGAGAGTACTACAGCGCTTTGGCATAAATGAGAAGACTAAGCCAGTTAGTATTCCACTTGCTCCCCATTTTAAGCTAAGTACTACTATGTCACCAAAAGATGAAGTTGAACAAGAGTATATGTCAAAGGTACCATACGCAAATGTTGTTGGTAGCTTGATGTNTGCTTGGCTTCAGGGGTTGCTAAAAGAGCTTGGCATTGGACAAAAAAGTATCACAATTTTTATGATAGTCAAAGTGATATTCAATTAGCGAAGAACCAAGTTTATCATGCAAGGACGAAGCACATTGATGTTCGGTATCATTTCGTACGAGAAATCATAGAAGAAGGTGGAGTCACGGTGAAGAAAATTCATACTACAGAGAATCCTGCTGATATGCTGACAAAGGTGGTGACTGCGGTCAAGTTTCAACATTGTTTGGATTTGATCAACATTGTTGAACACTGAAGATTGAAGATGAAGACACAACCAAAATTTGTTACTGAGAGAAAATTGAAGATGTAGAATTTTGCCAAGGTGGAGATTTGTTGAGTGTCAAAATTGTCCCACATCGGTTGGGGAGTGAATTGGGTGGGAATTGCACCCTATAAAAGGAGACCTAATGTTTGGGATTTAAAAACACCTCTCATTTGCCTTCTTATCTTCTTAAGGCACTTGTATCTTCTCTCTTTAGTATTATTTCACTTGTATTTTTGGAGTGAAATAAAATATTGGTTGTGTCCGAGGAAGTAGGCAAAATTGGCCTAACCTCGTAAATTCAGGTGTTCATTTTATTGTTGTTTTATTGTCTTATTTATTTTTTGGTGGCTGTCATAATTTTTTGGTATAGTAATTATGACTCATTCACACTATATATATTTGGCTTCCGCAACATATTCCTTAGTCTAAGTTGCAAGTTATATGGCACATTTGTATAAATTGCTATTTATAAGCTACATTCTGTGATTTATAAGTCACATTAGTCAATTGCGATTTATAAGTTGCATTCGTCAATTGCCACTTATATTCTCATTTTTCAATTGTGATTTATAAGTCACATTAATCGATTGTAATTTATAAGTCGCACTTGTCAATACTATAATACAAATTTTGTTTTCCTCATTAAGTTGCAGGCTGAGGTCGTCATCATCGTAAAAGCAAGCTGCAGATAACAATCGTGGAATTAGTGCTCACATGTCGACCCTTCATAAACGCCTTTACCATGCTCTCAATCTTGGCAAAATAGCATCTCCACAATAAAAATATAAAATTGTCTCAAAGTTCAAAACCGTAATTCAAGAAAGATCCATCCATAACCATTGATCACCTTAAAAAGGACCTCCCAGTTGTCACCACAGTAATACAACAACAATAACAAACCTAATGGATTTCCACATGTGGAGTCTGGGGAGGGTAGGGTATACTCAGACCTTATCCCTACTCTAGGAGAGTGATGATAGGCTATAATTACGTATTTTAGTCGCTTATTACACTCTAATTTACTGCACTTTAATTGAGTTTGAGCTTTAACCGCATGTGTTTTGCACTAACTATGTGTTTTATGCCTTGTAGGAGTGATTCCGAGCTATATAGATATTAATGAATGAATTCAAGTGATTTGGAGCATTAAAGTCTGAGTAAAAGCTCAAGGAATTAAGCCGGGATCGTGTTCGGGGATCAATGGATGATAATTAAGAGCGAACGAAGAATCGAGTAGGTATATTGCGCACTGTCTAGTACAATGCACATAACGTTTTACTCAGAACTCCATTTTGGGATCCACAATATATGGTTGGAAAGCTAACTCAAAGGATACAACTTTCATGTTTTACATTTTTCCAAATTCTAAACGGAACAGGGTGAAAAGTGCGCATCAATAGTGCGGCCGCGCTCGTCAAGCAGAATCAATGTGGATATGCACGGTCTGAGTGCGGTCCAAGCGCGGCCGCGCACGTCCTGCCCGGAAAATGTGTCCTTTTTTGCGTAGGGAAAGGTTTAATTGTTTGGGCCCAACCCTACTTGGTATATATATATGGGAAAACGGTATTTTGAAGAGGTTGAACAGATTTGAGACACAGATTCGACCTAAGGAGGCAGAGACACAATAGGAGCAAGGCGGGGAATTCTTCTACGAGTTTTTCCTTCCTCTTCCTATTTTTCATTGTTGGTTATGACTTTTAGTATTGTATTTTTACATACTATTATGAATAACTAATTTGTTATATAGGGTTTGGATGGAACCTTTTGTAGGAAAAAATTTGTTATGTTTTTATATAATTGAGTCGTAGTATTTTCTCTATTTGTTCAACTATATTATTCTTGTGGTTGATTGAAGGGCCCTCAATTAGCTGTGCGTATTTAGTATGTATTACTCGGGAGAGAATACATATTTAGGTATTTGTTGAACAACATCACTCCCGATGTATGTGAGGAATCAATAACCAAGGGTTTAAAGGTGGGATTAGGGATAACGAAACCTTGGGTGCCATCTAGTGAGCTGTAATTAAAGCCATATAGCGTAACTCGGGAGAGTATGTCTAGTAAATTATCGTAATTACTCGGGGGAGAATTACAACATGCAGAGCGCTTATGATCGGTAGAGAATACTTAGGCTAAATTATAGAAGACATAGCGGGAAGGATTTTGACAATTGGGGAAATCATAACTCTAGACCTCCTTAATCTTGTCTCTAACCCTTAATATCTGTAGTTGTTAATTTACTATTTTAATTTGTTAGTTAGTTAGTTAGTTAATGTCACGACTCAAAAACCGATCCGATCGTGATGGCGCCTATCGTGAAACTAGGCAAGCCGACACAACTCTTGAATCAACTATTTTTCAATAAAAGTTGTTGTTACACTATTTATAAACCAATAATCTCATAATAAAACTCAAAAGAAAAGTGCAGAATAATTACACAAGCCCGACATCGGGGTGTCACTAGTCATGAGCATCTACTAAGGTCTGAATACAATAAGAGTCTAAAAATGTACTAAGTACAGTAATGAAAATGAGAGGAAGGAAATAATGCTGCGAACGTCGTGTAGTCACCTCGCTAACTCCGACGACTCCGCCTCCGCGCAATCAACACCTGCTACCGGGTTCTGAAATACCTAAATCTGCACACGAAATGTAGGGAGTAATGTGAGTACTTCAACCCAGTAAGTAATAAGAGTAAATAAAGACTGAGCAGTATGAGACAGTGAATCCACATTTATAAAAAAAAAAAAAAACTCAGTTAGCACAACATGCTTTCAAATCAGAATACGAGTCACTTGTCTCATTTAAAATCCAGCTTTTGGTAATATCATTTGGAAATGCTTTCCCACAGTTTCAATAGGGGTTCAACACCATTTATTCTATTACATAGAAAAGAGAAGATGGTCGACCAAGGGCAAAATTGCCATTTCACATCTCACTAAAGTTCTATTTGTACATCTATTGATTTGCTTCGCCTTTTCTTTTACTACGTCGAATTAACTTTTAAGTCTCATTTTGGGCTCTTTGTTTCTCTCTCTCTTTCTCTCTCTCTATCAAACTCTTCGCTCATTGTTTTTCTAGAAATTTCTTTTGTTCCTAAAACATAAATTTCATCTTTAATTTGTGAAATCTCAAATAAATGAAGCTTCATTTCTGCCGTTAGGTTTCTCTAAAGTGGTGTTGCTTGACATTTTAGTTCGATTCATGGAGTTCTTAACCAAGTATTTGAATACACAAGTTGGGTTTAGCTCACTCTAAAGATCCAACTTTGCTTCAGAAAGGTAATTGATTAATTTAAGTGTTTGCATTTATTTTTTTGGTTATAAATTGGTAATTATGATTCTGTAGTTTCTGGGATTCTATAATTTTTACATAAGATTCTAAATTGGGGATGTTACAACAACAACAACAACCCAGTATAATCCCACACGTGGGGTCTGGGGAGGGTAATATGTACGCAGACCTTACCCCTACCCCGAAGGGTAGAGAGGCTGTTTCCAGGAGACCATCGACTCAAAAAGCAACCGAAACCGATATATTAGTACCATAAAAATGCATAATAAAATAACAGCAATACAATAATAGCAATACAATAAAAATGACAAATGAGCTTTATAATCAGAGTCAAATGGTAGAGCGTGCAGTAAAAAATGACATTACCGGCAACTTTGCCGCCATATCCAGTGGCTTCAGCAGAAAAGCCATAGCTTTCTGCTCCTCTATTGTATGAAGTTTGTTGACACACATATTCTTGCATACTTTAAACAAGTGTGTTTAAAGTACTCCTACCTTATAGAAGCATTAGAAAACCTTTCCACGAAGATTAGGCATATATTTTAAATTTCTTTCTGTTTTTGTTGTGGCAATTAATTTTAGAGATAAACCTATCAATCACTTATTGTGTGTGCACTTGGATCTCCAATTTCTTTTAACTTTTGTAAACTAGCACTTTCTTGGTGCTTCCAGTAATGAATACACCTTACATGCCTCAAATATAAAGCATATTGTCAATTTTTTTACCAATGCGATGACTTTTTACAGATAGTATGAGCCTTTTAGCTTTTTTGTTATGAACAAAAAAATATTAGTAGTCAATCCTGAATTGGAGTTATTCGACTTATCTTGAATTATGTGTGAGTTTATGATGTACCAATTTCAGGTGCAACAAGTATTAGTTGCTGGCGTTCTTTTCCTTTTTTTTTTTGTATAAAAAGTAGCTAAAAAGTGTTGAATGGCAAAGGTTTAGTTGAGCATGTTATATCTAACTTTATTTTGCTTATCTGATGATATATATTTGATCAACAAGACTTCTAGACATATGGTTCAGTTTTTACCTTCTTTATTGGTTGTAGCATTTTTGTGAATTCCTTTTTTGAACAAAAGATAAGGGCATGAGGCCACTTCTTTTCAATTAATTTTGTGTTAGTTAAACGAAATGTGAACAGTAATCCTAATTTTGAGTTGTTGGATAATTTTTCAATTTTCCGGGCTTACATGTAAGTTTTTTTAGGAGAAAGTTATTTTGGTGAAGTGACGTTTAAACAAACAATTGAGGTTATTTAAAGAAGGGGCAAGATTTGGAGTTCCAAATGGATTCTTTAAAAGTTATATTGCAAGATATTAAGGCTGACATTTCATTAATCAATGCAAGAATATGTGTTTCTTTCGATCTTCGGATGTTTGAATGCTTTCATGTGATATTTTTTATAATCTTGAGTGTTTGAGTTAATAATATTAATATGTGAGATAATAAAGCCAATGTGTTAATTAGTTAAGCCCATTTTGTAACAATGATGTGAGGTGACTTATGTAAAGTTTAATATGAATGTTGTTATATTTTAGGCACACTAATAGATCAACTAATTGATAACATCGCACGTTAAGTTGCTTGAGATTCTATGGATTGCTTGGGAGAAGAGTATCAAGATTAGAATTACACAGGAACTTATGCTACTTACCCAAAAAAAACAATATCACACAATGCTATTTTCGAGCCAATTTGGTATTAGTATTTAAACATTTTCTTTCTCTTGTTTTGCATTCCTATATTGTACTAGCACTCTACTCTAATCTTATTCTTCTTTTGATGGTTTGAATGGATTTTACCAGTCTTCAACTATGATCGAAGCAGTTCCCTGTTCAAGATGATATTTAGTTTTTTTACCATTTTGTAATAGCGGTCTTTTTTGTAAAGGAACCTCCCTGCTTGGTTTCTGGGTGGAAAAGGTTACATATGCGTAAACACGATTACATAAGGAAGAGGACTTTGAGCCTAGCTTTCCTGAAACAATATACAGCCACCCAATTCTTACAAATCTAAGATCATGAAGGACTCCATTTACATTAGCTCTGTACAACCTTATCATTACTAAATTAGACATGTATTCTTGTTAGTTTTCAAAATTGGTATATCTTTTTTGCTGTTTACGCCCTAGAAGATGAGAATTGCAAGTAATTTATCCATCCTTAACTATCCTTTAGCCTCTTCAGGTAGCTCCCTCCAACTATGTATAAATACCTCATTTAGTACTGGTTCTCAGGGAGGCAGGAAGTTGACAAACTTTTCTTTCTTTTATATTCATTAATCTCAGGAGCACAGTGGCCATGGTAAAAGAAATTCAAATGGCCAATTGAAATCATATTTACTTATTCAAACTTTATTTACCTCTCAAAGTTGTATATGCATTTGAGTTGCATGATGCATTTTACAATTTCTGTGAGTTCGTTTCTTTTTTCAGTGTGCTCCTGCACATATGCCAATTATTTGATATTGTCAATTCTTAATTGACCAGCACCTAGGGAAAAAAATATAGAAACAGAAAAGACTTGTAAAAAAATAAATTATCCAGGCTGACTTTGGGCCCGTTCTTAGCACGGGCTGCTTATATCTAGTAATAAAAGAGATAAAAACCATAAGAGGCCCCTCGGGCAAAACATAGTTCATATACAGCTCCTCAGGCAACACAGAAATTCACAATCCTTTTTATAACTTAAAACTTCAGTTTAAATTAAAGATTATTTAAAATATTTGTTCAACAATTTCAATAGAGGGTCGGTCTAAAGATGAGTGAAAACAGTAAATAAATCAACATAATCAATAGAAACTCACTTTAAAGAGGAGTGAAAAATAGTAAGTTCATAAACAGGCCCCTCAGGCAGAACATCACTCATGTACGTGTATATATATAGCCCCTAGGGCAAGCCTCTCAGTCATTCGTGACTCAACTCTTACCAATCAGCACTCACACTCAATAGGTACTATATAGTAACCGCCGCGGCGTGCAGCCCGATCCATATATCGTTGTAGCGTGCAGCCCGATCCATATATATAGTCGACTGCGCTCACTGGGGGTGTGCAGACTCTAGAGGGGCTCCTACAGCCCAATCGCTATATCGCTATTGCGTGTAGCCCGATCCATAGATATATAATCCTCTCAACCAGGCCATCGGCCTCTCTCAGTCATTAACCTCACAATCAGACTCTCGGTCTATCTCAGTCATCAACCTCACAATCAGACTCTCGGTCTATCTCAGTCATCAACCTCACAATCAGATCCTCGGTCTATCTCAGTCATCAACCTCATGATCACTCGGACTATCAGTAAAGCAAGGAACTTAGCCCAAACAGTTTTCACATTTTAAGAAGTAAAGTGATAAAACCAAATTTAAACAATAAACAGGTAAAACATGACTGAGGATATGCTTTCAAAACAAAATAGAGCGAGGGAAAAAAATAGTAAAAATGCCTTAAGGGTCTCAACAGGTCGGCATAAGGCCCCAAGCATGGCATACATCCCAAAATATAATATAAATCTCTAAAATATGGAATATCATAAGATTTCAAATCAAATACGCGACTTAACAGTCGTACGGGATGGACCAAGTCACAATCCCCAAAGGTGCACGACTCCACGCTCGTCATCTAGCGTGTGCGTCACCTCAAGTAGCACAACGATGAGAATTCCGGGGTTTCAAACCCTCAGGACAGCATTTACAATCATTACTTACCTTGATCTGGTCCAAACTCTAGCCCGCGATGCCCTTGCCTCTCTACTCGGACTCAAATCGTCCCGAATATATCCAAATTTAGAATCATATCATAAATACATGCCAAAGGGACAAAGCCCATACGAGAATAATCAAATTAAACTTAAAATCCCGAAATTGGTCCAACCCGACCCCTGGAACCACATCTCGGAATCTAATAAGAATCACATCAATAGAATCCGCATCCTCCCACGAGTCCATACATATCAAGATCATCAAAATTGGACCTTAAGTGGCCTCTCAAACCCCCAATTTAACTCTCCAATTTTAAGTCTTAATTTCCCCAACTCTTTCTCTAATTCTTCCCACAAGTTTCATGATTAAACAATGAAATAATTGCCATAAACACAAGATACAAAGCCCAAGTAGCTTACCTCTCTATCAACACTTGATTCCCTCTTGAAATCACAGCTTGGAGCTCCAAAATCACACTAAAATGATGAACAAATGACTAAAAATCACACTAAAATGATGAACAAATGAACAAATGACCTCCTCGCACCTGCGGCTTTCTTCCGCTATTCGGAGCTTGCACCTGCGGTCCACAATCCGCAGGTGAGGACATGACAGAAGCGGCAACATCAGCTGCATTTCCTCAAGTTCAACCTTCCCAAAAACTATCCGAAATTATTCTGAGGCCCCCGGGACCTAAACCAAAAATACACACAAGTCACATAACCTTATTCAAACTCGTTCCAACCTTCGAAACGCTCAAAACAACATTAAAACACCAAAAATTACATCAAATTCAAGCATAAGATTCCAAAACATCCAAATTATGTTTTTGATCAAAAACCTAAACAAACCACGTCCGAATGGCCTGAAATTTTGCACACACGTCACAAATGACACAGCGGAGCTACTGCAACTTTCGAAATTTCATTCCGGCTCCTATATCAAAATCTCACCTATCAACCGGAAAACGCCAAAATTTCAATTTCGTCAATTCAAGCCTAAACCTTCCACGGACTTCTAAATTACATTCCGATCACGCTCCTTAGTCCCAAATCACCTAACGGAGCTAACCAAGCCATATAAATTCCGATCTGAGATCATACACAAACAAGTCAAATCTTGGTCAAACCTCTCAAATTTCATGCTTCAAACTGAAAACTGTTCTTCCAAATTCGTTCTGATTATCCTGAAAATCAAAATCAACCATTTACATAAGTCATAACACATCATACGGGGCAATTCATGCCCGGGAACTGACGAGCAAGGTGCAAAAGCTCAAAACGACAAATCGGGTTGTTACATCCTTCCCCACTTAAACATATGTTTGTCCGCGAACGTGCCCAGAGTTGTTCCGAAAACCATCAAATCATTGTGTAACCTTACCATGCACATACCCAGGGGTGATCCCACGTCACCCTCGTATAGGTCCGATAATACAATGTAACTGAAATTTCACAGTCCAACCTGGCCCATGAACCTTAGAACCACATTTCTACTTCTGAAATCGTCCACAAGATCTGAATCTCACACCTATACTCTGAACAAGCCCGAACAAACAGTAGTAACCCATACCTGCAATCTCCGGTGCAATTACATGATATACCACATAATTCAAACACTTGTAGCGATCACTTCTAATCACATTAGTTGCACACCACAACCAAATACCGATAGAAAACCTCTTAGCAACTAAAGTTTCATTCCAACACTTTCATATACTGCCAATGATAAATAAAACATGCAGTAAGCCATAACCATTTCTCAGACCAACCATTCATGAAGCAACTTCTCTTTTTGGCAAAGACCATGGCAGATTTCTGAGCCGAGCCTCGACATTATCCTTCCAACATGATGAAATCGAATCTGTTTGTATTCATTAATGATCCCAACGATCTCATGTAATCCAACACACTACTCTGGAGACATGACACATCAATACAGGCTAAAGCCATAACTTGTGAAATCTGCGCACCAATAAGCAATAAATCCCAACATACCCAAATCATGAAAATGACTCAAATGAAAGAGCTATACCGCAAGCTCACCAGTACCACTACAGCACAAGGCTGAGAACCCGTCTCACATCATAGAAACAGAACACACGAATCTAACCCGCAAGGTCATAGCTCCACATAACTTCGCTGCAATGCGCGACCCTATCCAGACACTGGTCCACATGAAACACCTCAAGTCACTCTGCTCGAAATTGACGACCACAAGCAATGGATGTCTAGAACCAAAGCAAATCATTAGACCTACGGTGAAGCAATTACATAACACCACACAAACCTGAAAGGACATAACCGATACGCCATCCACCGGCTCATACCCAGTACTCTTCTCGCTCGACTTCCTCTATGAAACCCCAATGGAATCGCACCATCTGTGCCTATAACCAACATATCATAACGACTCGCAACATAGAAAAGTAATCTATGGATCACCTCAGAACACTAATAGCTTAATAACAACTGAATCAACACATCCCTCACCAATAGCGACTCGAAATCAACATAGCCGTCTCGATGCAAAACACACATCCATATAGGTCTACCAATGAACCCATTATCAAGGAGTTCCGGAAGCTACTCCTTCAACTCCTCTCACTCTGTCGATGCCATATGATACGGTGACTAACACCAAATCAATACCAAAATCAACAACTTGCCCGGCGACATGCCCGACCACAAGAAAAACCTCCGAAAAGTCCCTCACCACTGAAACTGAATAAATGGTAGGAGTCTCTACACTGAAATCCATCACGAAACCCAAGTAAGAAAGACAATCCTTCCCAGTCATCCGCTGGATCTTCAAAATATAAACCACTCCACTAGAACATAATCTGTCAAACCTTGCCACTCAGCCCGTGGCATTCCCGACATAGCCAACACCGTCACCTCAGCGCAATAGTCCAGAATAACACGACACAGAGACAATCAGTGTATACCCAATGTCACATCCAAAATCTAACATACCAAGCAACAAAAAATCCACTCGGGTCTCCCAACCCCGATAGTCACTAAACAGTGCTAATACTCGCGACCCACAACCACAACATAGCCTGAATACAAGAACTCCCAGTCTCCAACTCTATATAGCACACGAACCTCTATATCTGATCCCAATTTCGTCGTTCGAATGTACAACACACCTCTAATACCCAATGATTCCACGAGATGTACTCTTATAATTCTTCTGTGCCACTAAGCACACTCGAATATCAGCAGTCGATCCAGCAAGAGAGTGCCGTAATACTGCCGAAGTACCATCAGCCTAATCACATTACCTTTTTTTGAAACATATACCCTCGTAAAATCACCCCAATTAGCATTACCATTTCCTTAATCATCTGAAGCTCATTTCTCTAATTATCTAAAACCGCCTGTGCTGCCTAAGAATTGTGACCTTCCTTTCAGAACTAATACGTGACCTTACACATGCAAATCTAAGTCTTGCACAACATACCGCATATACCATACTGTCCTAAGGTAAACATGAGAACTTCATATCCATTCCGAGCCACACGCAACTACGTACTCAACTAGCTAAGAACTTTTCTATTGGACCTCAACTGGGAGAAAATCACTATACATCCCATTCTCTTCATGCCCGTGGAAAATACACACCTCTAACCGTGGTAGAATCATCAAGAACTT